CTGGGAAGAATTCTGCTTAGAGGGGTGCTCTTTGTTTTACTCAACCCAGCAATATGAAACTGGCTGGGTTTTTTCACTTTTTGTTTTTGTTTGTTATTGTTTTGTTTGGAGACTATGGAGGRCAAAATATTGGCTCTGCTGCCCTCTGGTGGCTGAGTCCCTCTYCCACCTTCTCCCCAGATCTCAAGCACTGGGTTTTGCAAAGTCCCCTCTGACCTGTGTGTGTTTGCTCGCCTCCTCGTTGCTTTAAAATGGTGTGGGGCTGGTTAGGGTAGGTTTTCAAGTTACCAGGAAGTTCCCCTTGTTTCCCTTAAAGWACTGTAGGTGGCTGAGCAATTTCAAATCAGAAGCACATTAAAAGGTCCAGTTAGTATCATAGGTGTAGGTGGAAAATGGATTAGTGGGTGTCAAAACAGTCACACTGTGTTACTTGAAACTTTTGTACTCAACACTGCCAAAAGATGAAGGGTGTCAGATAGAGGTGATGTGCCTCTGGACACGAACATTATCTCCCGATCCCAGGAGAAATACGACAGGTGTCTGTCTTAAAGATCATACTACCTAGTAAAGTTGAATTAAAATGAGCAAGTCATGGCAGGTCCCTGTTTTCTTTGTGAGATGATAAGTAGCTTATTTACACCCCAAATAGCATCACAACCTTGGACTTCATTAAACAAGAGAACAAGGCAGGTTGCATTTATTGGGGGGTCTGCTAGAGATGTGGTGCAGATACATAGGGAATATTTTCTTTGACACAGAGCTCTGTTACTTGTGACGGGTCCACGCAGCAGAGGCCACACACCAACCTTCCATAGAACTCCATAGAACTAGCAGCTCCCCCTTTCTAAACTAAGCTCACTAGAACATGCTTGCCTGGTCCTTATTCACCCATCTCCTCTCCTGCACTCTCTGGAAGCCCTCTGCAGTCTGCCATTCTCTTCTCTGTCTTTCCCCTGTGCACTGGCATCCCACTAGGACATTTCTCATCCTGTCTTCAAAGTGCCTTTGAACTTAAACCCTTTCCAAATCTGTAGTCATTGTTTTTGGACCATTTCGTGGATTTGGCTTTCTTTGGAGAATTGCTTCAAATCTTGCCTCCCAGCACTGGGAATCTGCCCCTTCACCTCAGATGCTCCTTGCTTACCTCTTCCCTGTAAGGGGCACCTGCCCTACCCCTCTTCACCAGGGAAGTGCTGCCAGTGGGCGTGGCCACCGGATTTCATTGCAAGCACAGGGGCTCTGAGGAACTTGTCAAGGGGCCTCTCAACCAATCCTAGAGGAGTACCCTGCTTTTATCAGTTTTTAAAGAAAAACAGGCTTCTAAGATAGTTTTGTGGGGAGAAAGAAATCTGTGGCATTAAAAAAAAAAAAATTGTAACTTTTCTTGAAACGTTTAAAAAGTTTTTTTWAAAAACAGGCAAGATGATCTAATATTCCTTTCAAAGCTCTCAAACACTTCAGCAGTCCCTTCTCCCCCATCTCTGCCAGTCCCTCAGACCTCTCCGTGGGTGGGAAGACAGTAAGTAACACTTTACAGGCAGTATTTCTCCCTGGGCTCCAGTCATCCTGCTTCTAATGGGTCTCGGGCAGCTGTCCCAGGCCAGATAAGTCACATTAAAGCTGAGAACAAAACCAAAGGCTTGGGTTTCTTTTTAAATTAGGAGCGGGGAAAATGTGCCACTTGAAGCTCTCAAATGGTCTGGGTTCCTGGAAACTGCTGATGTGCTTTGGAAAGATGTCTTAAATCATCACGCTCTTAGGTTCATCCTAGTCGGGGGAACTCTGGGACAGTTTTCTGCTTTGTTTTGATAGGAAGTTGTTCTAAATAATGGTATTCATTTGCCTGCACTGGTGTCAGGCTGAGGAATTAGAGGGGAAATAAAATTAATATTTATCTAGATTACACTGAGCTTCAGGGTCTAGATGTTGATTAGCTGGAGAACCCCTAGGGCAAGCCTGAATGTCCCCATTCTGCAGACGAGTGCCTTCCAGAAGGTAATGTCACATTCCACACAGCTGGAATGATGAGAAGCCAGGGCTCAAACCAGGTCTGGCCAATGAGGGTATTTTCCACGTGCTGCAGAGAACATGGAGATTTAAAGAAAAGCTCCTTTGGGGAAATTCCCCTTGGGACCAGTGACTTTCATAAATAGGGTACCACTGAATTTGCCTTTAAAATGTGAACAATTTCAGGACAGTGCTAGAGTGGATGGAAAGCAAGGACATCAGATACAACGATTCTGTTCTGGGGACACTGGGATTCCTCTTCATTCAGCAGGAGAGACGAACACCTTCCATGCCAAGAGCAAGGTTACCCAGGAGAAATGGAGGTAGGTGGCCAAGCCCAGAGTTGAACTACTTCACATCATAACCCTCCAGACTTGTTCCATTTACAAGCCCAAGGCCATGACCACACTCTCTGAAGGGTATGGCAGCCAGGACTCTGGTCTGCTCTGCCAGGGTTGGGGGAGTGCAGGACATAAATCTAACATAAAACCTCACTGAGCAGGTTTTCAGAAGGAACCTCACCAGGGAAAAATATCCAAACTGCAACTTGGTTCTGAGGCCAAACCAGAAGCTCTGTGCACTTATGAATCAGACCTACTGATCTAGAGGTTAAAAGAAAGAAGGGTCCCTTTCCACTTCTTTGAATCAATCCCTCTGCTTTTCTCCATCCTTCATGAAAGCTGAAAATTAACATAGTGGTTAGCACATTGCTGATGTTGATGGTCTGAAATATGCAGAAAGCTCTTGTCATCCCCAACCATGGGAGTACCCATAGTCAATGTGTATTCATCACACCATCTTATTGTTTTGTATTTATGATGCTTACTAGCTCTAGAAAGACAGCCCCTGTTAGGGCTAGCCACTCCCTGAAGATAGTAAGTGACTCTTTTCCAGAGCACTTTCATATACAAACCAACTGATCCATAGCCCAAGCCCACCACCTGCTCCATCAGCTTTAACACTCAGAGCACCATCCACCTGCCTTTATCACCGAAGGACAGGTACCAGATAATGAGGGACAACACCTGTGTCGCCCAAGCCCATTGAAAACTTTCAAAGTAGCTAGCCCTGCTTAGCCAACTTTGTCCAATCTAAAAAAATAATAAGAAGAAGATTCTTACCCATGTCTCCCCTTACTTCCTCTGCGTCCTTACTGCCCCTGTGCTTCTACATGTGGCCCTCCATGGTGTAGTATGCACCCTTCTCCTGGAAACTGTGAGCAACAAACTAGTTTTCGACCACAGTCAAATCCTACCCATTGGCCTCACCATACCTAATCAATAATAAACCTGCATGTTTAAAACAGAGGTCAGACCCTCCAAAAGCCATTTGTCTCTTCTCCTTCTTGCAGAGGGTCTTAAAGAGCAGTCAAAGGCACTGGCCACTCCAACAGAATTTCATTCTCACCAAGAACCACAAACAGCCAGCTTGGTCCTCAGTAAGGGTCAAGTGAAGCAGAGGGAAGGGACAGTTGTTTAGATGATTCGCTGGCAGAAAGTTCTTGTAGTATCATCTGTGCTGGCAACTGAGCAAAGCAACACTACACTAAATTAAATGGGCAAATGAACTAAACAGACACTTCTCCAAAGAAGAAATACAAATGGCCAACAAATACATGAAAAGATGTTCAACATCTAGCCATTGGGGACTTAAAAATCAAAACTACACTAAAACTTCATCTCACTCCAGTTAGAATGGCAGCCATCAAAAACACAAACAATAACAAATGCTGGAGGAGATATGTTAGAAAGGAACATGTTTACACTGTTGGTGGGATTGCAAATTAGTACGACCACTATGGAAATCAATATGGAAGTTCCTCGAAAAACTAGGAATGAAACCACCAAATAACGTAGCTATAGCAGTCCTTGGTATTTGTCCTAAACAATTAAAGTCATTATGCTACAGCATTACATGCTTATCCATGTTTACAGCAACACAATTCACAATAGTCACATTATGGAACCAGCCTAGGTATCTGTCAATAGATAAATAGATAATGTGGCATATGGATAAAGAAAACACACTATATATACTCAATGGAGTTCTACTTAGCCATAAAGAAGAATGAAATTATGTCATTTGCAGGAAAATGGATGGAACTTGAAAGCATTATGTTAAGTGAAAAAAGCTAAACTCAAAAGGTCAAAGGTCATGTTTTCTCTCATGTGGAAGCTAGAGAAAAAAAGGGGGGAAAAGTGAAGGAATCTCATGAAAAATAGAAGAGAAACCAGTAGAGTAGAGAAAAAGGATCAGGTTTGGGGGCAGGGGGAGGAAGGAAAGGAGAGCTACTAGAGAATGAAATTGACCAAATTATAATATATTGTGCATGTACAAATATATAATGATGTATTTCACTATTATGAATGATTGTAATGCACCAATAAAAAAKAAAATACATGAATAAATAAATTAGGGAAACAAAACCACAATCAACAACAGCTCTTTGGCAGCCATTGGCTCCTGCAATAATCATCCTAGTGTCTGTGAGTGTCTACAGTAGTTTTGGAGAAATAACTTGATTAAAAATATACAAATTGAATTTACTATGCTCAACTGCAAAATATATATATAYAYACACACACACACACAYATATACATATTACATATGTATATATTTCTTCAAGGAGCTTTTAAAAGTGAAGATATTAGATGTATAAAAATGGAATATTCATAGTTAAAAGACATCCCCCCAAAACAATGCTGGCACATATCCCTCCATGACATCCCTGTGAGTGATTAATCTAGAAATGTGTTTGCAAAATATCTTGTTTGTTTCAAAGTTAGGAAACAAATGTGTTTCCCTGCAAGAACAAAGTCCATAAATATTTTATGTAAGTGASGGAAGTGAATTGAATTCATCCCAAGAACATTTGTCACCCACAGTGAGGACCAGAAATCCACTCTGCCCACATCAGCCTCACAGTGTTTGCCCGGAAGGTGTTTGGAGGCCTTGTGTTAATGACATGCTCTCCATTTTATATCTTACTCACCCTTTAGCCAGTGTTGCTATGCCAACGTCAGTTAACTTCATTCCTACACCTATGGGAAGAGAGAGCAAGGACAGTTTGAGTTACTCAGGGATACTCAGAAAGGATCAGGGATCCACTCAGGGAAGGGGTAGAGAGCTCCCATGTCACCTCTCTTCCTGCAGAAATGTACACAATTCCTCCTGGTTTCCACCCCCAGAGGCCCAGAGACTGACAGCCTTTCGACGTGCACCCTACCTCAGGGGGTGCAATGGGGAAGGCAGACCCCTGATGCATCAGTGCCTGTGACTCAAGTTTTGCCTGGCTCAGGCGTCTCACCCCTGGGATGGAGGAGGCTCAGCTGCTCTCTGATGCATCTGAAGTCTGTGTCCTTCYGTGAGCCTCCTCCCCAGAAATACTCTGACCTGGGCTTCCTTCTGGTTCCTAATTCCTCATTGAAAGTGGAAACCCTTACACAATGGAAGGAGGAACAGTCATGGGCTGTGGCTGTGTCAAAGTCAACAGTGAGAAAGTTCAAGGTGACATCTGCTCAGCTCAAAGCCAAACCATGTTCCCATTTCCAAGAACATGGTTTCCCATCCACAGCTGAAGATTGTCTGGATTGGCTTTAGGCACAAGGTTCCAGTCTTTTAAATAGTGGCCTGGGCATGCTGACATTTGGGATCCATGGTCTGCCCCTTTGGCACTTGCCCTAACCTCTGTCCATTGAACTGTGGTTGGTTGGCAGGGAGGGTACCAAACCCCAAACTATTAAACAGCTACCTGAGCTACCAGCTCAGCAGAGAGCCATAGGTGTTTATGGTAGAATCCCAAACACACAACAGTGGCAGCTGGAAGAGTAGCCAGTAATGCAAGGAGAATGGACAGTCTGTTGCCTTCCACCGTGAGGAGGGCAAGAGCCTGACTTTCTGCAGCAGAAGAATCACCTGTTATGGTTTAGGTATGAGGTTTGTGAGACAATGCAAGAATTTTCAGAAGTGAAATAATTAGATTATGAGATCTAATCAGTGGAATAATCCACTGATATAGATGAACTGGGTGTGGCTGGAGGAAGTAGGTCATAGAGGGCCTGTCTCTGGGGTTTATATTTTGAGCCGAGCTTCTCTCTCTCTGCCTCCTGGTTGTTCTGTCCTGAGCTGCTTTTCTCTGCCAGGCCCTTCTGCTAGGATATTCTGCCTCCCCTCAGGGCCCAGAGCTGTGGAGTCAGCGGACCCTGGACTGAACCTTAGAAACTGWGGGCCAAAAGAGACTTTTCCTCCTCCATGTTGCTCTGTCAGGCCTTTTGGTCACCGACTCTCAATATCTGACTGAAGCAACCCCCTTGCTCACTCTGCCCCACCTCATCCTGCATCTGTTACCTCTCCCTGTTCTAGCAGGAAGAGAGAACATCTCTCTGAGGCTCAGAGTGTAGAAGCACCGGGGCCTTTCTAACATATTTCCCCCCTAACCAAGTACCCATTCTTTTCCTGTCTTTCCAGGGTGGCTCCTGCCCCAACCCAATGGACCCCACCTATGTGATCTAGTTTTATCACAGGGCATAGCATCCAAAATGCCACCCCATCAGCATCTGACCTGCTGTATGACAGGTGGGGGTCTTCTCCTCTCCTCTCTCACCTCTGACTCTGGTTCTATATGGGCCAGGCTCTAAGGACCAGTCTCCCCACCACCAGCTGATGACCTGGCCACAAGAAGGCCAGGCAGCCTAGAAACCAGTCTGGGGTGTGCAAGAAGGAACGAGCGTCTCCCACAAAGCCAACCCTGAGGATCGTATCTGATGACAATCTAGTTCTAGGGTTCTCCATCCCAGAGGCCCAGGAAAGGAAAGTTTGAAGGGTTAACGCTCTGATTCGGCAGTGTCTGCTTGAAGCACGTCAAACCATSGGACATGCTGCTTTTCAGACTGGTTAGTCAGACAGAAGCAATGAGCCGGGCTTTTCTGGAGTGCACCTGTGAGCTAAATTAGACATGGCACTTTGGGGGTGCCAGCAAGCATTTTAAAAGCCTCTTTCACAGTTGGTAACTAATTTATCTCATTCTCTGAAAGCTGCTAACCACTTAAACATATGTAAGAATACTCAACATGCTTTTAGTATGGGGACTGTTGGGTTTTTTTAAGATATCAAATTGCAAAAGCCCTCTTTGGCCATTTTGTTTTATGGAAAGTATACTTAAAAATCACAGCTCTAAGTTGCACAAAAGTCTAATTTTTAAAGTCATTTGGCAAAAGTCCTTGAACTTGGAGAATTGTTCTCCCTTGCTTCTCATAATTACCAACTGTCATTTTCAGTTTAGAAAAATAGAATATAATCTTTAAAAAGAAACTTCTCTCTCTGGGTTTAATAATTTGTCATCAATTCAACCAAGGTTATTAACAATCACTAGAGAACAATGAATTAAATTCCAGTGTGCAACTATTAAACTGAGCTGTGGATAATAGTGACCTACAGGTTGTTTCTGTTGGAAGGAAGGAAATTGGCAGCACCAGGAGTCTATTATCCAGAATTTGAGTTCTTGGGTCTTTCTGGCTCCTTAGAAGGCCTAATGATCTTACCAGAGAGCCAGGTCTTGGTTCCAAATCACAGACCCACTTTAACCCCACAAACCTGCAGGCCCCAGCACAATCCTATAAACAACTCAGTGCACCAAGGGATGGAATAACTTTTAAGAGTTCAAGAAGAGGATGATTGATTTGGGGGTTTGCTTTAATTCTAGTTCCAATGTCCCAGTAAAATTATAAGAAGGGGGAGATATTACTTAGAGAATGGATGTGTTATTTCATGCCACATTGGTAGTGACAATAAAAACATTTTTTTCCCAGCAGCAAAGTAAGTAGACACCATTATGAAATTCYATGCGAGCACATTTAACTGCACACATCATTTACAAAGAGATGTAATATTCCACTATAGTTGTTTACTAGTGCYTAGAAGCAAAACTAACTGTGCATGAAGCTCCAGGGCATTGTTTTTCAGTAGACAAACTCTATTTAATGCAAAATAAACTCTGAAGGAGGAAAGTTGGTGGGGGGTTGGGGAGGCAACAACTAGACCAACAGAGTCTAACTAGCATGAATAACCGTTAAGACAATGTTTCTGGTGTGTGAGCGTGTGGCAGCCAACGCTCTTCAAAGACTGAATGGTTATGGCTCACCATAAATTTGCATATCTGTCCATCTGCAGGACAGTAATGTTGCAGTCCCAGTTGGTCTGCAAGGAGTCTCCAAGTGGGCTTAGGGGGAGAAAGGACAGTGTACATGCTGCTACCTTCTAACAGCAGAGGACATTTGGAAAGATTGGGAAGTAAATCTTTTGCAAATTTGTTCATTTGTGGTGTAATGGGAAAGCTTGCAATTCAGAGTCAGAGAATATGGGTTGGAATCTTGGACCAACTTACTAGCGGAGTGGCAGCAATTAAATCACTGCTACCCAGCCTCAGTTTTCTCATCTACAAAATTGGGATCATGGTATCTTCTTTGTAGGGTTATTAAAAAGATTAAGTGTATGTAGAAATCAGTGAAATACAAGTCAAGTCTATAGTCTAGTTAATTATGCTGTGCCAAAGGCAGTCTCCTGATTCTACAGACAATGTGCTGTAGTCATGTTAGATGTTGTCATTAGACACAGCCAGATGAAAGGTACATGGGGATCTATGTATATATTGCAAATTTTTGTGAATCTATAATTATTTCAAAAATAGGGAATATTTTGCTATGTGGCCATGCTGCAATAAACATTTCAGTATCTCACTTAGTCCTCACAACAATCTCACCTGGAAAGTACTGAAACAGAGAGGTGAGTCATTTGGCCAAAGGCTGACAGCTAGGAAGTGGCAGGAAGGACATGCGTAGACAGTCCTGTTCTCACTCTAGCCCCTTCTGAACACCATGGCTCCATGGGCAGTGCCACCACCAGCATTTCTTTGCCCAAGAACTATCTCTGCCCACTCTTCCCAGCTTGGCTTGCCCAAATGTCAGGCGGGAGTGCAAACAGTTAGGTCCCCACCAAGGGCAGCCTTCAGCTGGTGCAGTGGGAGCTGGAGGATAAACACTGAGTGGTTCTGGGAAGTAYACTCTGCGCAGGCTCCTGGCAGAGTGACTCCCATTACCCACGGCAGTAACTGGCTGTGTATCCATGTGCCCTGTCAGCTGCCCATCCCTCTTTAGTCTCACTTCCTCACTCCTCTGTGTTGTTTCCAGGGACATTCCCCCACCCCAATGGCTATTTGTACTCAAATACAATGGCCTTCAGGTCCTTCCTCTGCATCTGTAGCTTCCTCATCTTCAAATTCAACAGAAAATATTCCTCCAAAACTGAACCTCTATTGAATATGTACAAAGGGGGTTTGTTTGGTCATTATTCCCTAAACAATACAGAATTACTGTTTACAGAGCATTTACATTGTATCGGTACGATATTCTAAAGATGGTTTCAAATAAGCAGGAGAATATGTGTAGCTTATGTGCAAACACTATGCCATTTTAAGTCAGGGGCTTAAGCATCCCCAGACTTGGGTATCCATTAGGGGTCCCAGAACCAATCCCCTGTATTACCAAGGGATGACAGTACTTGCCTTGTTCTGTTCCTGGTGAACCCTAATTATGACAACCCCTTTTCTTAAAGAAATGGTATTCCTAAAAATGTGTGTATACATTGAAAGCCTGCCTTAAATTCACCAGGGGGGACATAAGATCTGAAGCATTGTAAGGCCCTTTCACATATTAAGAATGGAATGTCACATCTCAATTTATCTTTTCCTGCATCTGGATTTTCATAGGTACTTCTGAGTTTGCACCTATCGAGGATATAACAATGAAGCCAATCTCTTTTGAGATGGGAAAGCATTATTGGCATAAATATTAAAGAGAATTTATTATCGCATTCAGCAGGCCATTTCGGGCTCCTGGGTCAAACCGTGTTTCTGAAGAGATWTTGGGAACACCTTCTTTGGGTAAAGGTGCCTCAGGGTGTGCAGCAGACCCTCTTTCCCCTTCCCTTTCCTCCTTTCCTCACTCCTCCCCCTTAGGAGCATCCCAGACCCGCAGGGTCCCTGCAGCCAGGCAAGCTACTGTCCTCACCCTGCATGTCCGTGACCAGGAGGCAGCCGCTGGTTTTCTGGTACACCCAGTGCTGGAAGGTACAACACTTCTGACCAGCCTCCGTTTCTCTTCTCAAGAAGTTTATTTCCTTCCCATCTCTGATGGAATACTTCACAAATTCTCCAATCAGCTCCTCTTCCACTGTTGCATAAGGGATGTTGTTCTCAGGCCGATGGATGAGAAAAATGGGAATGATCCTGCAAGGCAGCAGAACATGGACACACATCCAGTTTCAGATGGAAAGAAAAACTGCTGGTCCATTCTATGCCCACGTGGAGCAGTAGGAGCTGCAGAATCAACCCCTGGGTTCTGGGCTCCATTAGATTTGGTTGTTCTCGTACTGGGGATGGAAACTGGACCTTGCACATACTAGGCAAAGGCTCTACCACTGAGCTACACCCCAGCCCTATCCATTAGATTTAGACTAAAAAAAAAAAAAATCCCCCAATTATTACTTAATGAGAAAGAAGATGCATTTCTGTTTTTATTTATTTCTAGAATTAGAAATTCCTCCTTAGGTTTTATTTCAATTGCTCATGTAGAAATGAATGTCTTCATATGTTAATACCTTAATGTTGTGTTAGTCAAGGATTATAATCCATCTATCCATCCACCACCTCCCCACCCATCCCACCTCCCCTCCACCCACCCATCCGTTCATCCTCCTTTCCTTCACTCAGTCCACAAATGTTCATTCAGGAGCTTCTGTGTCAGACACTCTTCCAGACACTTCCACAAGCAGCAGTAAAGGAAACAGAGGCTCTGCTCTTGTGGATCTTACATTGAATGAGAGAGACAGAMAAGAAACAAGTAAAAGCTCACAGCTGAGTGTTGGGTGGAAATAGGAAGCGGCGGAGAGGAGACAGGCGGGTGGGAATGGGTGACATTTTATTTAAGGGGGGTCAGAGAAGTCCTTGTTGATGAATAAAGAGCATTTGAGGAGAGACCTGTGGGAAGTGAGTGGAGAACCATAAGGAATTCTAAGGCAAGCTCATTCCAGGGGAAGGAAAAAATTAGTTCTAATTTTAAGATGAAAGTTCTGTGTGTCTTGTTAAAGAAATTTCAGGTGTTCCAGGTGAGGACAGAATGGCCAGATGGAAGCGGGCACATTTGGGGCAGTAGCCCTGCCCCCTCTCACTGCAATCGGCCTGGCTGCCCAGGCTTCCTCTGCTGTGCTTGTCAATTTTGCAGGATTCAGGGGACRCTCTGAGGAACCCCTCTGGCCAGTGACCCTGTACCCAGCACAAAGGTTCAGGGTTTGTCTGGGTTCTTATTAATCATGCAGCCCTGGCAGGGTGGGGGGACAGGGACAGAAACAAAGGTTGGGCATTATTCGGGTTCTTTATTAGCCTGGTCTCTGCCCAGTGGGACCCATTTGCATAGACAATGTGATGCCATTGATATTCATGAATTCAAAAGCAAGCTGCTCCAGTGTGGAGTGTTTTGTTTTGTTTTTTCTTCAAGATCCCATGTGCTTCTAAAAGAGAACTTCTCCAGGACCAAGCTCCATTGTCTGGAATTAAACACAGGGGTCACCCCAAGKGTCCAGAGCCTCTCTCTAGGCTACAACTGTGGTTAAGCATGGGGTATTCGAGAGAAAGCAAGAATGTCCATGGCTGGCTCTGTGTGTGAGTGAGTGGTGTGTGTGAGTGAGTGGGGTGTGTGTGTGTGTGTGTGTATGTGCGCGTGCGCATGTGTTCTTCCTCYAAAATCCTCTGATTTAAGTTCCATGAGCGTGGAATCTCTCCCAGATGTCCTTCTGAGGACCCTTATTCCTCTTTATATTGTCATCATTCATGTGGTCACAAATCCTCCCACTGCAAGAAGGGAAAGCAGTTTTTCACAGAAAAATGTCCTCACTTATATTCTATCTTGGGGTCTTGGCTAGTTTACTGCAGTGCTGATTGCTGATGAAGCCCATTAAGCTCCTACCTCCCCTGCCCCCCATCCCTTTCCAAGTCCCTATACCAATCTGATCTTAATAATTTTGTGTTCTTTTCTCCCAGAGGGCCCCGAATATGGGAAGAGGCAAGCTGCACAAAACCTGGGTCTACCCCTGCAGGGGAGGATTAGTGGCTTCAATCCTCCCTTCCTAAAAGAGGAACCTGACACAGAGACTGGGAAGGGGGGGGACCAAACAAGAAGGATGACAGGGCGAGATTTGTGACACAGAACTGAACTCATCCCAGATTGCTGTCTCCGTATATTTAACAGAGAAGCTGAAGGATAAGGACAATAGGCCCTGGGGACTTTCCCTAACTGTCGCCCTACCTGCCCTCCTGCCTTACCCAAATGAGTCACCAAAACTCCTCCCATGACCTGGCCCTGCTAAAACCCTACAAAACTCAGGCCCTTGTTGCAGCCCACCCCCGTTCTCCCCTCGAAAACGTGCCCCTCTGATGCTTATTAAAGAATGGCTGGTCCGTTAAGGTCTGCCTCCATTTCCTTTTTCTTTTTGTATTCTCTTTCATGTACTTTCAAAAGCAATTGTGTTTTTTCTTTGCATTACATTATTATTTTTTCATTTGCTGACAAATACTTATGTAGTAAATAAGTATGTTAAATTTTCTTTTTGGCAATGACGGAAAGCATTAGAGACACTACTGGTTCTGCTCAACAACAGACCACCTAAGGGAAAGTATTATTACCAGTCGGTGAGCCAACAGGGGCACTTGGACAAGCTCCCTCCTCCTTTCCCCTCCCAGGCCAGCTGTATAAATGGCTGCTCTGCCGGGATTTCCTGCAGCTTCCTCCTTCCACTTAGCATGCAAATATGATCACACCCAGACACACAGGCCAGTAAACACAAGCTCCAGACTCCTCCAAATTTGCTGAGGCCAAAAAATATTGCTTCAATGACTGGATAAAAGCAATCAGTGTAATTTATCTCTGTAGGATTCCAGGAAGTGGCTACTGTGTTACCAGTAGCCTGATCACTGGTCCACTCTTCCCTGTCACATCACCGTATCTTATTTTCATCATAGGATTAATTACATTTGGACAGTGTCCTGGGTTTGCTCATTATTTAGACAATGTTATACCCATGAGAATAGATACCTTTTCTTTTCTTTTTAATGTGGTAGATATATTTATTGAATGAATTAATCTAGCCAGTCATTTATTTACCCATGCATATTTGGGGGGGGTGGTGAGGTAGGGTACCAGGGATTGAACTCAGGGACACTCAACCTCAACCACTGAGCCACATCACCAGCTCTATTTTGTATTTTTATTTAGAGATAGGGTCTCACTGAGTTGCTTAGTGTCTTGCTTTTGCTGAGGCTGGCCTTGAACTCCTGATCCTACTGCCTCAGCCCCCCAACTGCTGGGGTTATAGGAATGTGCCACAGCACCCTGCCCATGCATACATTTTTAAAGGATATTTATCAGGTATCTCTCTGTGGGTCCCTGGGATTTACAGACAGAGACCAACCTTATCACTTGACATAACTCTCACCCTCACCCCTCCAGCCCTCCGAGTCCCCAGCGAATCAAGGTGGTAACAACCAAGGCAGGGTAGAGTCACTTACTCCGGCACTTCTCCAAAGCCTTCCAGGGGCTGTGCTTCAGCAGCRTAGATCTTGGCATAGTGTCTGGCAGTATTTTGAACATAGCATTCCTATATCACCAAACACACGGGAAATCCAAGTGATTAAAGAAATCAGAGTATCACCCAGTAATACCATTCCGGCAATTTTCCCAGTGTAGGTCACACCAATGGATTCCTGAACTCATCAAAAGCACACATTTATTAATTTTGTTGTTGTTGTTGTTCATGCTGGGGGTCAAACACTTCACCTGAGCTACATCTCCAGTCCCTGAAGCAGTAATTATCATAACCTAGAGTTGGCCACATACAGAGGAGCTCTGAGACATGAAGGGACTACCCAGGCCAAGGTCAAGGGTATCCCAAACTATCACACTTCTAAACCAGCTGAAGTTCACCCCTGAACTACTGGGGCTGGCCCCTTGTCATGATGACAGACAACGCTGGGGTTGGGGGCTCCTGGTTTTGCTGTGAGATCTCCCCCTGCAATTCCTTTTCTAAGTTGTAATTTGCATAGTAAATAAGGACACTTTGACAAGATTTCTGGCTCAGGAAAACCAAAGTGCATTCCGCTTCCCCCTCTTTTCTGAGTGCGAGTCTGTGTGCTGGGGGATTTTCTATGAGTGGCCATACTCAAGATGGAAAGCTCAATGAATGACTGGACCCGGGAGAGTCATCGAAGCTCAATCCACTAGGTTTTGGGTAAAAATGTTGAAAGGGCACTTCGTCTGTGAAAGAGCTAGACCCAACCCTCCTGACGGCTTGCCAGTGCTGGTGTGGACAGTGAACCACAGGGGTCMGGTGAGCTGGGGAGGGGAGAAGTCAAAGCTACTCCTCTCCTGCCCTCCCCTCCCCTCCCCTGTCCTCTCCTCCCCTCTCTTCCCCTCTGGCCTCAAGTTCTGCWACTCGGTGACAGAGAGAGATGGGAACTTAGCTGGAGACTTGGGCCAATCTCTCTATATAGTTTATAGGCTGATTTGGAACCAAACTCAGAAAAGCAGGAAATAAGACAAATGCTGACCCTTTTGAATACAAACCCCCACCCCCTGCCTGCTCTATAACACAAAACAAAACACTCAAGAGTTTAGTGCTGATTTAATCTGTCACTGGGATCCTTGGGAATCCTGTTGCTTCCAACCTCCATCCACCTCCCCTATCATCCACGCCCAAGTAGATTCAAATCCCCTGGGGCCTTCTAGGGACAGAAATGACCATAGTTCAAATCAGAACTGGAGAGGGGTTTCCAGGCATTGGTGAAGTCCCAAATATCTGGTAAGAGACCAAGAAATTACTTCCAAGAACTAAGTGACCCCCCACCACTTGACTTTGATCTSTACTCCAAGACTAAAAGGCCCCCAGCATTCAGCCTTGATCCACATCCCAAACTGAGCAACCCCCAGAATTCAGCTTTTTCTACACCCCCCAAAGAGAAAYGCCTTTGGGAGACCCCCTCATTCATTCTGAGTCTGATTTTCAGCTCAGGTTACCTTGGTCACTCTCCTGCCTGAAGGGACACCTCTGGGCAGACAGACCCACCTGGGCAGCAAGTTTGTAGTTCCTTTGGATGAGCTCATCGTTGTTTCTGGTCCCATAGGCAACTGCGTTGTGTACCTTGAGCACACAGGCGTGACCCGGCTGGAAGACCGGCGTGAGGCCCTGCATCACGGTGCTGCGGAAGGCTTTGCGGTGSACCCCCTCCCCGAAGTGCAGCTCCTCGGTGGCAATCTGACCACGCAGGCGGTCCCCAAAGTAGTGGTCATTGAGGAAGTCCTCTTTGAAGATGAGCTGGCTAAATTCAATCTCTTCACACCCTAAAACATAGCACAGTTTGGTTGGACAGATTATCTCCCAGTCCTGATCCTTGGAGAACGAGTGTCTCCGTGTAAGGGTGAGGACAGGGTTGACCTGTTGAACCAAGAGGGAGGAACCACACTTAACTGCTCACAGAGACACAGCTAAAGGGAGRGATGGTAGGGTTGTGGGAGAGGAAGTGTCACTGAAGGAGGATCCCTGGAAGACCCCCGTAGGACACATGCAAGAGGAGACCAATTGGAGTGAAACTGGGGAGACCAGAAAAAGAACTGTAGACAGATCTGGAAATTAAAAGCAGAACCATGCAGAATMACTAAAAGCAAGTCAAAAAGATGGGTCAAGTGCCAGTGYAGAAGAGAGAGGAAGGACAAATGACCAGATCCGATAGTGTTGTATCAATCTTTTATCATGATTGGTGCCTTTTTGGGGCATTTTTTTCTAAGAATTCCCCTGCAAAAATCTTAACACTACAAATYACACACACATACACACACTCACTCATGTACCATGTGTAYATCTGTACTATACACAAAAAAGGAAGATTTTTTGCCCCCTTAAGAGTGATAATGCCTCACTTGAGAAAGCACATGAAATATATATTAAACAGGCAAAAATATAGGACAAAATATGAAAAGAATATTCTTTGAAGACAAGTTGAAAAAAGTAGACTTATTTGGATTTATTTGTAAAAAGAAAAGTAGAATTGTTTCCTGAGTTTCCAAGCAGCTGTTTTTTGGAGTTGATTCTAYACATGCGTCAGATGATAATGGATTCAATCAGGATGCTCCATTTTAAACTAGAGATGACCAAATCAGACTTCTAACTTGCTGATAGAGGAAATAAGATGGCTTTCAATGAAACAAGATTGTTTAGATTTTTAAAAACACCTATTTCTCAGAGCTGACAGCTTTCTATACTTTTAAAAGATAAAAGTAGTCAGGGGTCATGTGAAAATCCCACTTTGTTTTTACACGGTATGTTTAGAGAAATGTTTTTCTCTTCTTTACAAAATGTTTTCWAATCATGTGCTTCGAGAGTAGCCTGTGAGGGGTACTAGCTATTAAAACTGGAAGGAAACCGAGCCTACGCTTAAGGAATATCAGTTAATGTCTAGGCCTAGTTATTGTCAGAAAGAAAGAGGAAGGTAGGGGATTTTCAGATAGAAAACATGGGTGAATTGCTGGAGGCTGCCAGAAGGAAGAGGGTCTTGAGGAAACTGCTGTAAATGATTTCAAAGAGGCCATCTGAAGGCTGGGGGACCAGAATGGGCCACCCTCAAATGCACCTCTTGAGCAAAARGACTGTGAACTGCAGATAATTAAGAAGCAGATGCAGGAAAGCCTTTGGTCTTCTTCTATTTGCCCAAATTAAAACATACATTTACAAAGACAAAAGATATCCCACCTACCCTTCTCTACCAGGGAAAATATAGAGTATGCACTGTGGACAGCCTTGGACCCCTGAGGGTCTGGAGATAGCCCCAGGCAATCTACATTAATCAGCTTCACTTGCTAGCCCTTATCCACCATTTATTTGCCTYCTGCAAGAAGCCACTTCTAGGAACTCAAAAGTCCTTCTCTCTGTCTCGTCAATTCTCCAACAATTTACTGCTTCTTGTTTGAAGATGCTCTGTAAACTGGAATTCAAAATCACCTTTCAGGGAATAACTCAGTTCCTGGGTGTCTCCAAGGTAGACATAAAACATGCATGATATMGTACACTTCACCTTGTTTTTCTCCTGAGACCTGCCTTTTGTTACAGGGGCCTGTTCCAACTGAGACATCAGGAGGGTTGAATAAACATATTTTTCTTCCCCTACAACTCCTGAGTAACCTGTCCTGGGGTCCAGTGGGGTGTTTTGTCAGGTGAGCTCTTAGGCGAGAGTTRTAACAGGTTGCATCTTACGAGACAGAACCAGAAGAAAACTTTTAATTTACAGTGAAGAGTGTAGTTTCATTTTATAGGTGAAAAAATGGATAGGAACTGCTTTTTATACAACCCAAACCTTCCCAATTCTAGTTACATGATGAATTTCAGTTTAACAATTTGCTTCAAAGACCACTTAAAGAATATGGAAAATGTTTTAATGCCAGAACCCAATAAACATGAGTCATATTTGCCACATCCTGTTTTCCTTCAAAATCCCCAGATTTCTAAAATTCAGATATAAAATTCAAAGGTTAAAAAGTTTAGGTTTATGCTTTTGAATGAATCAAATCTGGGCTGGGAATGTAGCTCGGTGGTGGAGCCCTGGTCTAGCTTGAGGCCTGGCTTGGATGCCAGTGTTRCAAACCTCCTTCCATTAAAATAAGCCCCCCCCCAAAAAAAATTAAAAAAAAAAACATTAAATTTAATTTAAAAATAAAAGTTGTTCCACACAATATACTTAGAAATAGGAAGAAAAATAAATTTTGGTACAGTATTGTATGTGGTATAGTTAACAATCCTGTCAGTTCCAACAGAAATGTCTACTTAACAAGGATAAACCATGAAAGAAAAAAAAAAAAAAAAAAACTAAGTACTGTTCTCTGGAAAGCCCCTTGGGGAAAAAGCTGGAGTTTTAGCTGGAATGTGACTCCTTTTGCAGAGGAAGCAGGTTTGCACCTGCAACTTGGCAGAAACTGTGAGAGAATGTCCTGTCCAAGGATGTCTGCTGCAGCCGTGCCTGAAATGTCCCTGTTCCTGAGGGCGTCACCTCAGAGCTGAGACCTCTTCTGCAGCGGGAGATGGCAGGAAGCATGCCTTGTTTAGACCARTTTCTTCTCTGGGAAGGGTGACTCAGATAACAGGAACACGGAGCACCTGGGGGGGTCTCAGAAAAGACCAGAGTGTGGCAGTTCAGGTCTCAGTCTGGACAGAGCCCTCCATTGCCCTGCTCGCCTGCCCATACCRCTGCCTCCAGCGCCTGGGGGCAGTCCCTGAGAGAACCAGAAAAGGCTGGAAGGTGCCTGTGAGTGTCAGGAGACCAAAACCACTCCCTGAGGTTCTCTGCTACACCCATAAGTTGCAAAATCCAAATTCCAAACACACAGAGAAACCGTGTGGCTACCTGCAGCCCCTGTGGCAAAGACTGCTAAGAGGGAGGGAGGAGCAAATCAGGAATATATTAATAAGAAGTAATGACATCATTAAGTTGGGTTCTTGTGTTTAATTTGGTCCATCATTCATTTCCGGYTTTCCCGTGAGTTTAGCTTTATTAGTTTTTTAATTAGAGACTGACTTACAAAATGTTATTTGTTTCTCCCGTAGAGAATTCAATGAATATTTAGTGAGAGATTTCTCTAAATAATAATTTTTAAAAAGGTGATTAAAAGCAAATTTCAGCTGATCCAAATAAAGGTACAGTATCAAGTGAGGCCAGGTATGGCCTCCCCAGTCTGGCGAGTCACTGAAAATGGACACCCTGTCACAGAGGGGCAGAAGCTGGGAGCAGGGGATGTCTTCAAGGACTCTGGCTGGAGTCAACAGGCCCTACCAGTGGCACCACTTCCATCTGGTGGTCTGTGACATGTCCCCATTAGGGTCTCATTCTTGACTGGTAAAAGCCTTATGACACGAGTTTATGCAAACCAAAATCAAGAATGTCCTAGCAAGTGTCAGATGTGAATGCCAATCAGTGCTAAGAAGCTGACTGCAACAGCGAAGCCCTCATCAAAGTYGGTTTGTTTTCTAGAGCAGAAGGAGGAAGGGAATGGATTCTTTTGCATATTTTGACTTTCGGGGATGTGAAGCAGAAATGAGGGAAGGATTTTAAATTAAAACACAAGTACACTACACACTGAAGACAGGGATTTAGCATGGGGGGCGTTATGAAGAGCTTGCATTTAAATTTATTGTTTTGGATAAATATCACAATATTTGCTAGACCATTCCCAGCCTTGATCCAGTTTCTTGCTTTTGGCATCCTGATCCTGGATCTTAGTGCACCTGGATCACTTCAATTGTCCTATTTTTACAGAGATCTCAGGTGTTTTGGTTGCTTTAAAACTCAGCACTAACAATACAACTTTAAGACGCTAACCCAATTTAATCATCCGAGTTTTACCCATATCCTCCCTAAAGCCGAACAAGGGTCCTATGCTGTGCTAAGAGTTATTAACACGGTGGTGGGGCGGGGCACTGAGGGGTATTCGGAGCCACCTTGCTCTGGCTCCCAAGAGCTGATTGTGGGCATCTCCACCAGCTTCACAATTTGTGACCACATGGATAGAGTAAAATTAGCCATGCAGAGGGCGTCTGCACCATGGAAACTGGTAGGGGTGGGCAGGGGTCGACCTAGGCAGATGGATGATTTCCCCTAAGAGGGAATACATGACAAATGTGGATTCCACCAAACTGTGGGAGACTCAATGAATGGCCCTCTGGTGGCAGAAGTGTCCAGGAGCAGCAGCTGTTAGCCTGTGGCAATGCCAGATAGGAGGCAACAAAAACCCATCTTTCATTTTCATTAAGATACTCCAGCCCTCGGCTCTCTCTGCTCAGCTAGTTAGTCTAAAAAAGGGAATCGAAGAAACAAAACATGCTGTGTAAGTGTCACAGGCTGGAGAACCCCACCCAGCAGGGCTGAGCGCCAGCCAGTGTGGACGCCGACAGAGAAAGGTCAGATCCAAACTCCCCCAACAGGTGTTCCCAGCATCCGCATCACTACCGGTCGGTCACCCTCTTTCATCCATGATGCGCCTGAGGGTGTTTGCAGCCCAGTGGCAGGACACAGGAGGACAGCCCTTACAATCTCATGGAAATGGCTCCTGACTCGCCCCTTGTTTCTCTGGCCACTCCTGAGCTCCCCACCGGGTTGGAAGGGTCTGTGGGGACATGCTGGTTGGGAGCTGTCATGGGGAGCCCACGTGGGCTTACCTTTAATATCCCCGTGACTGGAAAGCTGTTTGAGAACTAGAAGAAGACAGAGAAGAGACTGGCTTCAGTCCAGGTGTCCATTCGGGAGTGGGCGGGGCCGGGGCTTCCACCTGAGACTGAGGAGCCGCGGTTACCTTGGGCGGTGAGGTGGAACTCGGAAGCCACTTTCCCGTAGCTGTTCTGGATGCAGCAGCAGTAGAGACCCTGGTCCTTCTGACTGGCTTGAACGATGGTCAAGGAAACAGCCGAGTTGTCTCCTGCGCTGTAAAGGGGGACATGAACATTCCAGACCTAGTCATTCCTAAGTCGCCTTCTCCTAGTGCCCTAAAGGAGAGACGAGGTCATGATTCCTCCCTTGTGTTCCCCACCTCCCCGCCGCGGTCCAGCCAAAGGACTAGACCCCGACGACGGGCTATCTGAGCATCCAGTTATGGGCGGAGGACCGTGACCCTTAGGTTTAACCCCCTCACTCTAACTGGCAGGAGGAGTCCACAGAAACCAGCCTGAGGCTCAACTTCCAGGCTCAGCTGCAGAGCCCAGAGTCACAATTGTCAACTAGGAGTTGTCAACAACATATCTGCTCAGAATTCACCTCAATTATGCACTTGAGGAAAATCTGGTGACTCCATACCCTAACCTAAACCCCCAGACAACAGGGGACAAAACAGGGCTCCTTTGTTTTACATAAAACATCATCCCTGAGGCCAGCCTCCCTGTGGTGATATCTTAAAAGACAGAGTCTTGCTGTGTTGCCCAGGCTGGTCTTGAACTCCTTCAGTGATCGTCGTGCCAGATCCTCTCTAGCAGCAGGGACTACAGCTGTGTGCCACCATGCCTGGATTTGGGGGAGTCCTTATAAATAGTGTCTTCTCCTACCGAATACCACCCACCTACCCAATATCATTAAGTTCCCGACATCGTGCTCTGAATACAAAATAGAGTGGTGGCAGGTGGTGGCAGCGAGTGCACACTGAGTGCTCGGTAAGTATCGGGCACATGTGCTAAAGCACTTAGAGGTCCATGCTCAGAAYGACCCCGTAGGGAAGATGGTTACTCTTCTCATTTCACAGATGAGGACCTGAGACATTGAGAAATTCAAGCCAAGGGCCTCCACACAGCCAAAACATCTCACTGTTACATGCACAGGCAGAGCATGCTACCACTTTCTTCTTGGTTTCCTCCACGTCTACTTTTCTTTTGCTTCCTAGCCATGAGGTGAGCAGTTTGCTCCACCAAATGCTCTCTGACATTGCCACCCAGCATCCCCACCAGAAGCCAAAAGCAACAAGGTCTGCCAAATATTGGACTGAAACCTCAAAAATCTGTGCACCAACATGAACCCTTTTTCTTCATAAGTTAATTATCTCAGGTGCTCTGTCATAGTGATGGAAAGCTGAATAACACAATAAGGCAGTGAGATATTTCACRGAGGGACTTTTAAAAGAAAACGCTCAACTAAAAGTAGGGGTGAGAGAGATTACCTAATATTTGAAAACCCACCTGCAATAATGTAAATGATCTCTCAATATACAAAGGAATTATGATTTCCGAACATTCTCAAGTGTYAGTGTAGAGCAGATGGGTTCAACTAAGCTATTGCCAACATGAAATGAAGCAAATACTACTAAGAATTTAAAAGACTTCAGTGCTTACTATTGACGTATGCTCCCTAGAGGGAGGTGAGGTTTTTGTAAATATGCCTCAAATGGAAAAGGAACCTGGAAAATTCAAGCACCAAGCAAACCTGTTTAATTGAAAAACACTGAAAGTGTTAGTTAATTGTTCTTGGCTGACAGCTTCAGGGAAAAAAAAGATTAAAATGAATGCTTAGTACTTTTTAAATAAAGTTCTAGGGGACCTCCTTGACTTAAAAGTCAGTCTACTTCTTCTCCATTATAATAATCCTTGAAAGCCATACATAGGACAGGCAGGGTCATGGTGACTTTTTAGGCCAAGTGATTACTGGATCAATCACAGTCTAATTAGGTTTTCTGGGGTGATGTTGATAGAAAGGAAACCACAGCTCTCTCGTCTTCCGTAGCTGCATTTGGGAAAGAATTTCCAGACGTATGTTCCCAAGAAGAACATTAACTTCCCAAGAAGTTAAATCTGATTTAACTGCACAGAAACTGTCYGATTTTCTTCCATTTTCAATCTATACACAACCAGCTGAAGGGCATGTGAACACCTCTGGTGGCCCAGGGGCTGACCTGGGGCCCCCGGAGCAGCAGTGGGTGCCTGCAGGCTGTTTGAGTTACGCTGGTTTCATGGAGGCAGGTGATTTGTGTCTAGAATGCACCAGAGGAAGCCTACGTTCATTTCATCAGTTCAGCTGAACAAGCATTAATTGCCAAGAGTCAGGTTCAGCTCACACCAGTGTCCGTGCAAGAATCCTCACTCATCTCTTCCTCGGGCTTCCCTCCTGCGCTGTCCTAGGGACCCAGAAACTAACTGGTCTCCCCACCTCTCATCCTGAGTAGCTATTACTTTTTGGTAAACTCATGGAACTTTTCTTCTTTTTATTCACCTTTGTCAGATTAATAAGAGTTTATGAAGCAGAAAACACCCATTAATGAAATTCACAGACACACAGAAGAGAGTTCTTTAGCCTCAAGACCACAGACCCTCGGTCAAGAATACTAACATGTTTCCTGAGTTTAAACTGTAAGGAAAGGTCCTGTGACTTCCTAAGAACCCAGAGCTCTCGGCCGCAGAGCCCAGGTGAGAGCCCAGGTGAGAGCCCAGGTGAGAGCCCAGGTGAGAATCGTCCGCCACGCCCCCCGTTCAGCATCTCTATGCCATTCCCACTCTTCTTGGAGCTGTGGGCAGGGGATCTTTACTTCTGTTTGCCTTTTCACTTCCTATGATTTACGATGTTCTTTTACAACTACACTAAGACATAGGTGTGTATCAACTGTGAAAAGCAACCAGGATCAAATATCCCACCTTCTCTGGACTTGAGCTATTGACTCTGAATCTTTTGTCCACCAGATGGTAGAATCTTCGTGAACTTCTGCAAACTGGCAGCTTAAGTTCACATTTTCAGGGTGGTCAGGGAACATCTCGGCTTGGATCTTTTTCAATACTACTGGAGCTAGAAACAAGAGAGACGTGTAGGTCAGTGCAGGCAGAAGACTTTCCCATGGCATCTTGTTTAATTCTCACAATTCCGAGAGACAGGAATAACACCCCCAACTTATGAATGAGGAAAATGAGTGAGAGGTGATGTGCTTGTTTGGACAGTTGGAAATTGAGCAAACCACTCTGATGGAAAACTCCTGTTTTTCATTACTTTAAACTCCTTGGGTGAGGTCTATAGTGCCCTCTGTGAGACAGAACTTGAAAGACTTTTTTTTTTTTTTTTTTTTTTTTTAAGAGTGGAGCAACCTAGTCTATAGGACCTGGGCTAAATAAAGATGCTTTTAAATAATTACCAGGTGATCCAGGCCAAAATTAGATCCAGAGATTAGGAAGTAGAATAAAATATGGACTATTCAAGTGACTGCAGTTAAGTCTCCAAATGTAAAAGACAATTCAAGAATAAATTATTTGTTGAAAAATGCTCGTTCCTCAAAGCTGTCTTTGCTAAAGATGGCCTGTGGACTGGAGTGATGTGGACRTTGCTCTCACTCTCAAAAGAGGTGTCTACTTGAATGAAACAGGAGCCAAAAGGAAATGATTTCAGGGGCTGGAATGAGACCTTTAAATATCACCTTTTATTTTTATTGGTGAGGAGCGCAGAGCCTGACCTGCAAATGTGTAGTTAGTCAGGGAAGCCACTGGGTGGCAGCATAGACGCCAGAACACCCTGAGGACAGAGTCAGATGTGCGAGATGATTGGAAACGTGCTCTGCAGCTTCAGGAACAAATGTTACAAACATTATATGATCCACAGGCAAGCCAAAAGTATCCCTCSGGAGGCTTTGTTTACTCCTGTTCCACTCCAGTGAATCAGTGTTGTGTTAAACGAGCTTCCCATTTTTCCTGGGCCCCCCGCAGACACTTGGCTATAAGAACGCATATTTTAAAGCTAACTATGTGCCCAGGAAGCAGCAACGGGCTGGTTGGTAACAAATCCCTCAACAAATCCCTCAACCAGAGAGTAGCTGAGACTACTAACAACATTGCTGGAGCCAAGTGCGTCATCATCAAGAGAGAAAACACACCACGTCCTTASTGATGGCAAATCTCATTTGGTTCTTTGGGCTCTGCGGCTCCTGCCCAAGCCGAGGCTGTTCCAGGGCACAGCCTCAGATGCTAGACCCAGGTCTTGACCAACTCACCTCCTCCTGGGCTATTCCCTGAAGTCCCTTCCACGTGGTGGCAATCTTCCTGGCCATCTGGGGACACCTACATGTTCTGAAGGCTGTTATAAGTGTTGAAGACGAAAAAAGTGGGAGGGTGGAGAGAAGGGCCTTAAATGGATAGAGAACTGAAGGGTGGGCTCTGGGAGACAGGAACTGGCTCTGCAAGGAGCCTGGGGTCCTTAGGAAGGATCATCTGAGTGTGAGAGAAGAGCACTGCAGCCAAACGAGTGCAGAGGAGGCCCAGGAGCGTGGCTGTTTATCAAGTGTTGAGCAAACACCACGTAGAAGTCCTCTGGTGGACCCGAGGCTTCCACTGTCCTGAGGATGCTTCGAAAAGGTCACTCAGACTTTGTTTTCTTTCAGAATCATCCAAGTCCCTCCCCACCCCCTGCCACATGCACACTTCCAACTCCTAGCCCACCAGGTCACTGATGGGGGGCACTGAATCTGGGTTGCTCCAGGGGAGGGCAGGATGAGCTTCAGACTGTGGGTACACAGGCAAAGTGTCACCACAGGTCTGAAGGGCAGTACTGAGCAGAGATGAAGACTCTGCACCAGGCAGAATGGGAACCTCTTAGCCTGGTGTCTTCCTAGTGGTGACATTAAAAAAAGAAAAGAAAAAAAAAAAAAAACATGAAATTGCTGTGCCTTACCCTGGAAAGTCAAAACTAAAAATCTTTCGAGTATGTGTTGGTGGAGTAGATTCTTAAAGAAGCTGGGCATATATAGAATCCGTGATGGACAGACAACTCGAAGGTAATAAGTTACAAGGAAGAGGCGGACCGTTGTCGAAGGGGAGCCTATACAATCTGCCATGCCAAGTGGTAAGTGCCAGAAGAGAATCATCTCTCTTGTCACTTGTCCTTGGCTCTGTTGCTTCGTATGGCTCAGGGCACACGGAAGATTCTTATTGAATAAGTTCTCGCTGCACTAATTAYCACAAGTAATTGGGGGTCACTGTATAAAACAGTGTGTCCTTAATAAATGAATGGTCAGGCAGTTGTAGACCAAGCCAGGTCAGGGCTCTTTCAGAGAAATGGCCTCGTGCTTGTTTGTAGTGAGGGCCAGAAGCTGGAAGGACGGGGACACTGTCCAACCTTTCCCTGAGAAGGAAAGACCCATCCAACAGGCATCTCCCCCACCGCTGGGGAAGGACCTAGGATCAGGGCCTACCTGGGTGTGAGCAAAGCCCTCCTGGGACTCAAGAAGAATTCAGGGGGGGTGCCCTGAATGCTCCCTCACCAGATGGCTCCCCTTTCCGTGAGGCCTGGTGCTCCTCAGAGAAGAGAGGCTGTGCCTTAGGAAGCACTCTTCCTTCTGATACTCAGTTGGTATCAACTCAGACACAATGACTCTGTGTCTGAACGAAGTTCTGGATTTATTTCTTGGGCATTTCCTTCATGTTCTTTTGCACTTTTATGCGGGGATGAGTCCTATTATCAGCACCCCATTTGATAGGTGAGGAAGGCGAGGTTTCCAGAGGCTGAGGCATTTGTCCAAGGCTGCCCAGTTCCTGGGAGAAGCCAGACTTGAACCCAAGCAACCCAGCTCCTAATCTGGCCCTAAACCACTGSGTCACAGCTCCCTTCCACATGGGCCCAAACACCTGCACACATCCCAAATCTCATTTTTCCTCTTCATGGTCCTCACAACCCCTGGGGCATTGGTAATGGTCCTTCACTGCCACACTGGGTTGGTCTGGCCTGGAAAAGCGTTTGTGTCTATCCCAAGGTCTCTTCAGGCCCCTGAGCCTGTGGCCCACTGCCCTTGGTCCCAGCTTGGCTAGCACTGTGCCTTTGAGAATGTGRCCCGCCCTGTCAGCAGCCCTCGGTGCTTGGGGTGGCGGTGCTGGGCTCAAACTCTCCCACAGCACGGCTCTCGGCATCACCCTTCCTTCCACAGGCAACTTGAGTCATTGTGGACAAGAATCCCAAATAATTTTTTTTTCCTCTAGGCTGAAACCACTTCTGAGATTTTTTTTTTAAAGCATTGCTTCTTTCCCTTTCATATGTTTCAAACTATGCACTAAGAAGCTGTCGGAGACCCCCTCTCTTCAGAAGGCAGTTTCTTCTGCCATCTTTTCAGAACCACGTCTGACGAGGTCTGAGAAAAGAAAAGCTCGGGCCTCGGGGTCAGAGGACCCAGGTGTAGTGAGGACCAAATTTCTCCTCCAGGTCACCCGGGGCCAGAGCTCTGCTCCTGGGCACTTGTGCTCCAGCTCTCCGCACTGTTTTCCCCCCTGACTTCTGCACTGTGTGTGGAAGGGAAGAAATGAAATAAAAGAGGCCYGTTTCAGGCTCTGGAATGGAATTGGGGGCTAAAGTGATTCTATAACTGCAATTACAAGGGCTTTTGAGGTTCAAGTGGCTTGAAATCTGGAACTCAGCCACCAGAGGTTAGAGGAGGTTAAGTTCAGAGAGCGGGAGGGTGAGTTGGAAAGAAATTTTATACTCATATTTGGAAGAAAACCAAGGTTAAGTTAAGCCATTTTGAATGAACATCAGTGATTAAAGAGTCCCCAAAATGCGACTGGAATACTTCTTTCTATAGATCCTGCTGTGTTCTTTTTAATTAGACTAATTAGCCACATTGTTTATCTTTTGAGATAATTTTTAAAGGATAACTAAATAGAAAGGGATTGTAATCATGCTCCCTCAATCAAACACACCTAGAGCAGCCTTTCTCAGCCCTTCTCAGGTGTGCCGCCCCGTCCCCCATCACCTGGGAACTYGGTAGGAGTACAGATTCTTGAACCCACCTCCCCATGAACACTGCATCAGAACTCTGGTGTGGAACCAGGAAATCTGGGTTGTAACCAGCCCTCCAGGAATCCTGATGCCTGTTCGAGTTTGAGATCCACAGGCCTGCGTCCCAAGCCACTTGTCCACACCATGGCATCGATGGCCACCTGCCGGGATGCTTACCTGAATTGCTAAGGGCTCAAGAGGACACAGGAACCTCACACCTCATCTTACAAACCCAAACTTCAACAATGAAAAAAAAAGCTCCAGAGCCTCACCTTTTCCTTCTCTTTTGCAAGCTACCTTTGGGGGGTCTTTTTTCTCGTCTGTGCATGATAAGGATTTTTCGAGCTTAGGGATCTTTTTAAGAAGACTTAAGTTCTTTCTGACATTTTCCTTCTCTTCCAATCTCAGTCTCAGGGCTGCCACCCTGGACAGAATTTTCTTCTTTACTCCCTCAGCTAAATGTCCACTRCTCGAGGTCTCCTGCTGCTTCGTGACCACTGCTGGATGGGTCCCTGGTAATTTGCCAGCCTGGGCAGGCACGCGGCTGGGCTTCTTCACCCCCGGCTTGTCCTCCCTGCCCAAGTGGAAGCCCTTCTGCCACAGGTCCTGCAGGAACTCAGAGGAGTTCTCTGACTCACATTCTCCAGAAATGAAAGCCAAAGTCATCTGGGGGGAGCCAGATGAGCCTGAGGGTTTGGTTTCCCCAATTTGAGGCTCTTCTGTTTTCAGTTCCTCAATCCGAGAGCTGAGTGAAGAGTGAGAGATGGTTCCTTTGGGAGACGAAGCGCAAGGTGACAGCGTAAGATCACTGGAGAAGGGCACACATTTCCCACACTCGTTCTCCATAGTTCCCCTTTCCTTTGAGTCAGAAAATACGTATTGATGGTTTCTGGGTTCAAAAACATCATTTTCAGGTCCATCATAAACTGTGGAGTCGTGAACATCAACCCCAACAGGTGCATGTGTTATTGAAAGACAACCAGAAAGAGGTGAAGTGGGGGAAATAAATTTGGCTGTGTCCTTTTGACCTTGTTCGGCCTCCCCTGGAGTTCTGCCCCTGCCCTCTTGCACTTGGCTTATCCTGCATGCACTTGGAATTCTTTGCCCATCTTCTTCCGCTGGCCACCTGGCAGGTTGGTCTTGCACCTCTGCCTGGTTATACTGACTTCGTTCAGCCTCTTCTCTCTCTCTGTCTACTTGGTCTTGGTTGATTCTGGTTTTGCTTGGAATGGTTTCCCCACTGTCCTGGGGACATGGAACTTGCAGAATGGCAGGACAGATGTCCACTCCCTGGCCCAAGTTTCCATCAGCTGATGTATTCCCCTCTCTGATGGCCCCTAGTGTGGATTCAGAAGGTTCCGGTTGCTCAGCCCTGGGGCGCCCTACCACRCCTGCCTCATCCTCAAGAGGATCTACAGAGGACTCTAGGATGGTAAGGGAGGTCAGAAACTGTTTGAAGAAGACAGGAGGGTCCACCTGGAGCTGGGTTTCCTCCTGGTTAACGTTTTCCTTCCTGCCAGACTCTGAGGCCTCTGATAGTGAATCTGCGAGATGTAATTCCTTTTCATCAACAGGGTCCACAGACGACTCCAGGAGTCTAGATTGGCTCAAACCCTGGGAAGGAGGAGTGCTCCCATGTGCCCTGCTAACTGGTGCTTCACCTTCACAGGTTTCCTTGTTGTTGGCCAGAGCTGGACCTGCCTCAGCCTGAGGACCATGAACCCATGCTGTTTCCAGCAGATCTGCTTCAGACACAGCAGCATCAGGTAGAGCCCAGGCCTTGTCTGGGGCTATGGAACTAGTTTCTGCCTCCCTGTATTCAGGTGGCCAAATTTCAGAAACAGAAGCCTCTAGGGTTATAATCTTCAGCTTGGCTCCTGCTACCCAACTCCCTAGTCCAGAGTGCTCCTGGGGTGTTTCAGAGACAGATGGAACACTGCTCAGAGCCTGACTATCTTCTTCYGCAGCCCCTTCTGCCATCATGAAGACGCTGGTCTCTGGGCCTGAGCTGCACCTTCTTTCTGCCCTGGACTTTGCTGGACAGGCCTCCAAGAGCACCTTGCTGGCTTCCTCTTGAGCAGCCGATGCCGGGGGCAAACTTTCTTGGAAATCGTCTACAGAAAGAGAACCCTGGCAGAATGAGCTGTCCAGTTGGATTCTCTGCTTTGTTTCACTTCCTTTTTCTTGGAAATCCTGTTCAAGGCTCCTCATGTCRGCTCTGTCTGTGGATTGACTCACATCTCTAGACTGATTATCGATCTGAAGAGGGGAAATGTCACAGAAACCCTCTCCCTCAAGAGGCAGGGGAACATGACCAGGAACTTCCAGAACACTGAGGGCCAGGTAAGGTGAATCTTTTGTAGATTCAGTTGTGGAACCACCAAAAATATGACCCAACTGTACATTGGAAGGTAATAGAACCACATTTTTGTCCGCTGCCTCAGGTGAGCTGTCCTTGGCACCATCTGCAAGGCTGATATCAGAAACTGAAGCAACTTGGCACTTGGCTGGGAGGACTTTGGTGGCAACCGCACTCATTGATTTGTCCTTGGTCTCCCTGGCCACCTGAAGACCCTCGACTTGAGCAGTCAGTGCTGCTGGCTTCTCCTGCCAAAGCTTCAAGATTGAACCATGATTGGCTGGTGAGCCGGTGGTGACTTGGACACTGGGACTCTGGTCACCTCCTTCCTTAAAGTTCAGGAAAGGGTTATGCTCAGAGGAAGGAAGATGTGTCTCCCCACGCCCTCCCAAGCTGAGGGGGATTGGGCTCTCCTGGCCATCCTGTGCTGTGGAGGACAAGATGCAGGAGGAATTCTCTACTTCAGTCTGATGTCCCCCTGCATTGGCCTCCTGTGACATGTTCCAGATGAGAGGACTAATGAAAAGAGGGGACACAGCTGTGTTTTTGTCCTTGCTGTTTGCACACGTAGACTGTGAAGGCTCAGAACCTCGTGTTTGTAAAAGAACTGCCAGTGTCTTGTCATCAGAAGGACATAAATCACATCCTTTGCTTTGACCTTCTGTGAGCTCATAGTCCATGCAGCAAATTTCTTGAGGCAAATATTTATCAGCTGGTGCCCCAACAGGAGAATCCATGGTATCACAACACATTCCTTGGTCGCTGACTCCAAAACACTCTGTCACCCATGCTGCTTCTCTGCTCCTTGAGCCCTTGCACAGGTTCTCCAAGGGGAGGCTGGTGTCTGCAGAGCCAGGGGAAGCAGCAGACAGAGGCTCCGGCACCTCGGGCTCCTTGCAGTCAGCACCAGCATCCCAGGGGAGATGTGTTGAGGGCCCAGCCAGGGACATCTTTCCAGCATTGGCTTCTTGGGTATTCTGTTCATGTTCTCCATCTGCCCCAGAACCTCCAGGTGGGTGGCCTTCTCTGCCTGGTTCTTCCTCCTGCTGTCGGCCTTTGGCATGACCCCCTTCCTCTAGGTATGGGGTCCAAGATGCATTTTTCTTGTGGATCCCCCATAAGTTGGAGAAGGAATCCGTTGTGGTCCCGGTGAATGGAGACTCCTTCCCAGCCAACTCTGGGAAAGCTGGCTTCTGGCGGAGAGAACTTCTCTCCCTGGCTGTTTCCTGAATTTGCCCCTGGGAAGATGAAAAGTGGTATTAATAGAATTGTTCCTGGGAGAGGCCTCAGCAGGACATAACAGCAGTCCTGAGTGTTAATCCTCAATGATGGTAATAATGGACAAGAAGAGCTGGAGTGACTGAAATCTGAACAGTAATCCCCCAAATCGCCCTAGCCGTTAGAGACTTCCTGGCAAAATACCAATCTAAGCAATTCTATGTTCCACAGGACCCTTGCCCAAATCGACCATCAGAGGCAAAAAGCTACCTGACAGTCGTCATTAACTGAATAATTTTTCTCTTTCTCTCTCTGAGAAAAAGAGATGGGAATWAATTGAATGTTAATGATTTTGCTCTAATAAGTCACAACATGATCTGTGTGCTGCTTTCTAGAAAGCCGAATTTCACTTGACCATTACAAAGGAAATACACAGTACTTATAAAGTAGCAATGAGCAATCTTTGTCCCCCAAATATGACAGTTTTCTAGTTAATAATGTTACTAAGGAACAGAGAAAGGCCTGTCCTTTGAGCCCACCTCTAATGAAGTAWTGGAGTTATAATAGGCTATCAGCACCGCCAATCAGCTTTGGCCCCTGAAAAGGTTATAAAAATCCTGACGTGCCTCCCAGACTTTAAAACAGAGGCCCTGTGGCCTTTGGTAAACCAGAGGATTCAGGACTGCCTAGTTTGTTGAGAAATGGGAAGGGTTGAAAGGAGGGAAGGGAGGAAAAGAGGAAGTGGGCAGGAGACAGAACTCTCCCAGTCTGAGGACTGAACTCATCTTGGTACCATCTGAAAGTTGTAGATTTTTGGATACTGTTCAAGGAAGCTGCAAACTCTGACTACATTCTTGTCTCTTGAAACATTCAGCCCATTGACTATTTCAAAACAAAACAAAATTACGTCCAGTCATGGAGAAGGGAATTAATGCTAATTCTTGGCATTAAAGTGACTCCATCTTTGCCCGACCCCCAGGTCTCCTGCTTTGAAGAGCCCCATGCAAATGTGCAGAGCACAGAGGACTAGCCTTCGAGAGGGAGAGGGCAAGAGTGGAGGTGCCCTCCCAGTCTCCGATAAGACAGAACTGAGAGGCCGTGTGTGCAGGGAGTCCCAGAGTCGAGGCTTATTTCCATAACTCCCACACCAGGGGTCTTCCTGCCTGGCCAGCAATCCCTGCACCTACCACCAACAGGAAGCACTCTCTCCCCACGCTGCTTGCCACCTGCCAGTCGGTCATCCTTCCTCTTCTCTTCTTAAGCTACACTGAGATTCACTTAACTCCAGATTTTGCTGGCATAAAATTGCTAATGGAACAAGAAGACGTTCATTATGAACTCCACAAGGATTCCGTTTTATGTAGCATTGAAGGCCCGTTTCACGGACTAGCACACAGTAGGTGCTTAATAAGTATTTGCTGAAAGAATGAATAAATGAACAAAGCATGTACCAGGTCACCCATTAAACCTCTATGTTGGAAAAGGTTTTAACTTTCATTTGCTCCTAACTTTGTGACAGCCCTATTTTAAAGGAGACTTCTAACCAGAAGCACCACTGGTTCAAATTCTGGTGTTTCTAAAAAAAAAAAAAAAAAAAAAAAAAAAAATCGCATGTATTTTATTTCTGAATCCTTTTTTCTTCCTCACAATATTAACACGGAAAAGGAAAAACAAGAAAGATAATTTGGGGACATAAGAAACAAGGCCTTTCTAAAGTATCAAAGAGCTTAATGACAAATGACATACATATAGTACTTGCAAAGTAGCAATGAACAACCTTTGTCCTCAAAACGGTCCTCTCCATACCTGATCACCTATAACACACGGAGAGAGTGCTCTTTCCCTTTGCTATTTTGGTTTGGATTTTTTATTTTAAGCAGAGAAGTGTGGGAAGCTTCCTAGGATTGAGATGAGTACAGAGACCACCCAGTCAAAAACCCTGCTGCTCCCCTCAGGCCTTTTTACTCTGCCTGAATCTGCCCCACCTATGTCAGTCCTTTATTTTAGGGTTTTGCTATCATCACAGTATCATCAGTGCCAATAGATATTCATAGAGTCACTGCCAGGAAGAGAATTCTCTGCCAGGCACCAGGCAATTTTTTTTTCAAAGGGCTCTGTTTAAAAAAACTACTTTCTGGGATTATACCTTTATTCTTACCTACTCATCATCAATGATTAGTATATTAACAGAGAAATAGGCTGATTCATAAAAGAGGCTAACATCCAGAGAGAAACACAGGGTGAGTAAGTTCTGATTAGGATAAATTTGGTGACGGCACTACAGTATCATAATATCAAAACTTGATTGAGAAAAGTCATATTCCTCTTGTGGTATATTCACTCTTTCCTACTCTTGCTTTTAAGGTAAAATCCTACTTGAAAATACCCTAGTGAAGCCCCACAGGTCCAGACACAGGATGAGCCCTTGACAGTCTAAATTCAGACATTCGACAAACATTGAGTGTCTACAACACACCGGGCACTGTTCTAAGMCCTTGGGAGCATTGGTGAACTTGACAAAGATGGCTGGTCTTTGGGAGGTAGGTTCAACCCACAAACCATGGGATGAGTCCACGGTTGATATGAAATCCTATACATCTGACTTCAACCAATGAGATTTTTTCAAAGTGGAGCCTTTAGCAGCCCAGTTCCGAGAGCAGGCTCCTCACCTTATTCAGAAGCCAGCTCATAGAGAGAAACCTCAGGCTCACACCTTTCCAGTTGAGTCAGACCTTTCTTACAGGAGTAGGCCTCTTAGTCAAATCATGACGGATAGACGTGCCCCAGCAAATGGCACTCCTGCTCAGCGACTCTCACCACGAAGGGATCGGAGAGACCCAGTGAGACTCAGGAGGGCTTGTGACATAGGAAAGTTGTTCTCACTTAGGTAGAAAGGAGTGTTGGGGGCTCTAGGGAAAGTCTACTGTCACGTGTGGTGTATAGGACTGGCAACCTGGGTTTATAGCCCAGGTTAGTCCACTATGGCATGAAGGACCCCAGGTCATCTCATTAACCTCCCTGACCCATTGTCTCCTCCTGTAAGGCTAACCACATGCACGTCAGCATCATCCTGTCAAGTGCCTGGTATATTGCCTGGTGCCCGGAAGGTACGCACTGACATGGGYTTCCTTGTTCTCTGTGAAAAGGAAGTAGCAGCGAAGGCAAAGAGGAAACTGAGCAGCCCCGATGAGTGCAACCCTGAGCTGTGGGCTTCAGGAGGATTTTCTCATTTGTTCTGAAAAATAAATTGAAATAAAGATGCTGAATGCCTCTTCACTGAGAAGGTGAAGAGCCTGGTTCCAGTCAGGATGGAGAAATACAGGAGGTATGACAAGGGAAATAAAATCTAAAGAAGTGGTAACCGTGATGGAAGAGCACTATAAAATATAAGGATACTCTCTGGTACCCTTCCATGAGCGAGAGTCGTAGAGGACAGACTCGGATGGGTTGGAGAAGGTATGGTTAGGTCCTAGTTGGAGAAGGTATGGTTAGGTCCTAGTTGGAGAAGGTATGGTTAGGTCCTAGTTGGAGAAGGTATGGTTAGGTCCTAGTTGGAGAAGGTATGGTTAGGTCCTAGTTGGAGAAGGTATGGTTAGGTCACCAGATAGCAGAGAAGTTCACTGGTTTATCCAGACAGAGTTTGTCTGGAGTTGCTGGGCCATCAACAGAGGACCCTTCCCAATGCAGGCAGGGACCAAGTGGTTCCATCCAGTGGCATGGCATTCAGTGAAATCTGAGCACCGAGGAGGAAGAGGCTGAGTCCTCAGACCATGTGTGATGGGGGTGGAATTTGTGGAGGGAACAAGAGTTCCATGTGGGCCAGCGCCTCTGGTGGCCGCATGTGGTCCGCATGAGGGCCTGTGGAGGGAGTCCAGGTGTTGGTACAGGAAGGAGGCTGTCAGGGTGGGAGGGTCATGCCAGGAACTAACCTCCAAATAAAGAGGGTTGCAGAAAGGTTGTCACTAAGCTAAGGCTACAAGGTTATGCGTGGACCACATTCTGGGYTTGGAGGATGGAGCAGACTCTAGGGATGACCCCACATCCCTCTCATCAACATCCGTAACGCTGAAATGACAGGAATCCTCTTTCTCCTGCAACGTCCTTTCAGCACTTTAAAAGAGAAAAGAGGAATTCTTTTACCATGAAACCCATATTAAAGGATGGATATAGAGTTGAGAAGTGTTACTGGAAGTCACCAATGTTCAGGGATTGGAATCTCCCTGGAGTCCCACAGGCAACAGCAGAGCCACATCTACATCTGGCTGGCTACAAAGACATTTCCAACCCTGTCTCCCCTCTCCTTTCCTTTACTCTTTTGTAATTTTGGGGATCAAACTCAAAGCCTTACACAAGCTAAGCAAGTGCTCTAACAATGAACTAAACCCCTAACCCCAAACCCAGCTTTTCTAATCAGAGAAGTTAGAACTATCCCCAACCCACCAAAGGCTGGGAATCCCATGAACATATGTCCAGAATTTATGAGCTCCAAGGTACTTTGGGTATAAGATTCCAATGCTCCTCCTTGCATATAACATCGTCATCAGTTGATTTGTCTGCTGCCTCAAATTTCTAAGGGCAGGGACACTTGTTATTCATTTTAAAGTGTCCAAACTTAGTTCATAGAAGGGAATCAAATCACTTAGTGAATAAACTGAGGAATTAACACAAGGGGAGGAAATGGTAAACTGTTTTCTGTTGCTATAATGAAATATCTGAGACCAGATAATTTATAAAGATAGAAGTTTATTTGGTGCACGGTTCTGGAGTCTAGGGAGTCCAAGAACATGATTCCACCATCCAAAGGGATGCCTGAGTTTTTAGTTTCATCTCCTCCTTGGTTGTCTCTATATCTCATCCTTCGTCTTGAAAGAATTAAAGGTGTCTTAGACTGAACCCTTCAGGTGCACATTGTAGTTTTACAACTCTGTGTCCAGGTAAATAGGACACTGCCACATCATGACATAGCAGAGCGTATCACGGCAAGATGTGATGGCACAGGTCTGTCTCCCTCCTTTATAAA